TATAATTAGTTTCTAGAGTAAAGCATTAAAGATACACAACATGCACCATTTAAGATCAAAGATACATACTAAAGGTACAAAAGTGGTAAGACAGAAAGGTGCAGGTCGGCCCCTTTTTCCGAGCGTGTACAAGCTCTGTAGAATGAGTTTAGGGTTGTATGATGTATTGTTTAACTGTTGACACAATATTGAATTTGTGAAATTCTTGCACAAGCCTGCAGCATGACTTTTTAACCTCTAACCAATGAATAATCCTCATGACCAATATCAGATGCATCAGATGAGTGTGATTTATTGAACCACAGCATTTCCATGACACAGTGTATGACGTTAAAAAAATATACTTAAATAGACCTATTTTCAACCAGGCCACAACATTGTAATATACAACCCCAGGCATTTATAATAACAGTATGTGTCATTATAATCACAATATAGTACATATATATTCTATATACAGACCTCTCGAAAAGTATTGGAACGGCAAGGCCAGTTCTTTTGTTTTTGCTATACACTGTAGACATTGGGGTTTCAGATCAAAAGACATTTGAATATGAAACGATAAATCAGAATTTCAGCTTTCATTTCCTGATATTTACATCTAGATGTGTTAAACAACTTAGAACATGCCACCTTTGGTAGCAGACCACCCAATTTTTAGGTGAGCAAAAGTATAGGAACAGATAGTCTTAAAGTAAATAACACTTAATATTTGGTTGCACATCCATTGCTTTCAGTAACTGCATCAAGCCGGTGACCCACTTACATCACCGAACTGTTGCATTCTTCTTTAGTGATACTTTTCCAGGCTTGTACCACAGCTTCTTTCAGTTGTTGCTTGTTTTGTGGGGTTCTCCCTTCAGTCTCCTCTCCAGGAGCTGAAATGCATGCTCAGTCGGGTTAAGGGCTGGTGATTGACTTGGCCAGGCTAACCTGATTTTTCCGCCTGATTAAGTCGTTTGTTGTGTTTGCAGATTGGGTCATTGTCTTGCTGCATGATGAAGTTCCTCCCAGTTAGACTAGACTAGATGCATTTCTCTGTAAATTGGCAGACAGAATGTTTCTGTAGACTTGTGAATTCATTTTGCTGCTACCATCATGAGTGACATCATCAATAAAGATTAGTGAGCCCATACCAGAAGCAGCCATGCAAGCTCAAGCCATGACACTACCTAGGGTTAGGGTTAGCCTACCACTCTACTTGACCGCAGTACTTGAGCTCGTATGTTTGGGATCATGAGCAGATCCTTTCTTTCTCCACACTTTGGCCTTTGGTAGAGGTTAATCTTGGTTTCAGAACTTTCTGAATTTCTTTGCGAATTCTAATCTGGTCTTCCAATTCTTACTGCTGATGAGTGGTTTGCATCTTGTGGTATGGCGTCTATTTCTGCTTTTGAAGTCTTCTTTGAACGGTGGATTGTGATACCTTCACCTCTGCCCTGTAGAGGTTGTTGGTGATGTCATTGACTGTTGTTTTTGGGTTTTCTTCACAGATCTCACAATATTTCTGTCTTCAACTGCTATTGTTTTCCTTGACCGACCTGTTCGATGTCTGGTTGTTAGTACACCAGTGGATTTTTTTTCAAAATTGTTGAATTGGCTATGCCCAATGCTTGTGCAATGGCTCTGATAGATTTTCCCTCTTTTGTCAGCTTCAAAATGGCTTGCTTTTCAACCATAGACAGCTCCCTGGTCTTCATGTTGGTTTATCCTTTTTAACAACAAATGCAGTCTTCACAGCTGAAACCCAGGGCTCAAACCAAGAATAGACACTCAGAGCTATTAATTGTTTAAACAATCAATCTAACAGGGCACACCTGGACAACAAGAAACAAATATCAGTCACATGTACCAGTATATTTGATCACTTAAAAAACAGGTGGGTTCAAACAAAAGGTGCCATGTTCTAAGTTGTTTAACACATCTAGATGAAAATATTAGGAAATGAAAGCTGAAATTCTGATCTGTCGTCTCATATTCATCTTTTGATCTCATAACCATGTATAGCAGTCTATAGCAAAAAAACAAAAAGAAATAAATATACAAAAAACTGTTTTTTTTTTTCCTTTCTGTCTTTTTTCTTCTTGTGATTGATTTTGTCTTTTTTCCCCCCAAAGCTTAACATAATTGAGGTTGTTGGCTGATTCCACTGATTACTTCAATAAATTTTCTAGATGACTTCCATAGCTCAGAAGTGAATCACTGGGTGTTAAGCATTCACACATCTACTCTGAATCCTTGTCTCTTAGAATGTACAGTTCTCTATTGCCAGACAGCACATCTCTTAGAAATGTGGTGCCTGAATTATTTCACGTGTCCAAAACATAATGCCCTCACTGTACTCAAACGCTGCTTCCTAGTCAGTGCCGTATTCATAAACTCAGGGCAGGTGTTTCAAAAACACTACCAAAAATCACACACTGACTAATCTGTATTGTTGATGAAAACAACAAGATTGTGTCCTATCAACAGTTTTTTTTTAATACTAGCCAGAAATGGCAGTCTGTCCAGAAGCTAAAGCATAGCCACTAATCCAGGACGGTAACTAACAAATATAGTTAATGCATCAGCAAGAAATCATGGTTAAAACCTAATCAGGTTTATTGATCTAATATTATATTAAGCAATATGTAGGTGGAAGCTATCAATAAAGCATGTGCTCTTTTAGTGCTTCTATGCAATGGATTTGAATGTTAAATATAAATATTCATCATGGGTCAAGACAAAAGGATAACTTCAGCAAAGATCTCATCTCTCCTTACACGCACACACATGCACGCGCATGCACACATGCACATACACGCACTCGCACACAATTAAGCACTTTGTATTATTGCAGCCCATGAATATAGGCCTGAAAGTGTGTTAGTGTCTGTCCTTGTGGTGCACCATTCTGTGCACATCTCCACACCCTGATTGCCCTTGTCCTCTTTGCATCTCATCAGGGAATGATGTAAGTGCAGAGTGGCAAGTGGTGACAGGGTACACTGTCTTGCTTGCTTTTTTTGTTCCCTGTGTCCTCTTTTCTCTCTTTCTCACCATACTGTGCTCTCATCTGTGGCTCATCACTAACAGCTTAGGTTTATATCACATCACTGACAGCTTGTATCTGTGATTCACAGCGCTGAGTGGATTTAAACTTCCTTAAATAAAATGGTGAACTGTATTTTTGTGCTTGTTCAAATTTCCAAATTCTACACCATTATAGCAGCATTTTTGTGTTAGTTTCATAAAGATTTTGTTTACATGCATCACATCATTCCTGACGTGCTTTAGTTCCTTGATTCATTAAAGATTTCTTGCTTTCTTTCTCGCGTGATTTTTTATTTTTTTTTACATTCTTTCTTGATTTATTGCTTGATTTTGTCTTACTTGCCCTCTTATCTGATTTCTTGCTTATTTGCTTTTTTTCTTCATTTAATTCTTGCTTGATTTTTCTTTCATTCTTTTTTCTTTCTTTCTTTCTTGCTTAATTCTTGCTTGATTTCTTTCTTGCTTTCGTGCTTGTTTTCTTGGTTGCTTTCTTTCATGCTTGCTTTCTTTTTTACTTGCTTTTTTGCTTGCTTGATCTTTCTTATTCTAAAATTATTATTAATCTATCTTCAGCCTAACCAGCTGATGCAGGTAAATCAAACATAGGCTTGTCTTAAAATATGTACATTACACAGTACATAGCCAGTTTACCTGTGGGATAGGAAGATCTTGACAGGAGAGCTTCTGAAACCTGCTTTTCATATATTATCATATATCTAATATTATTCCACCTTGTCCCCAGTCTTTAGTCTATTAATTGCTAAAGAATTAATTAAAAGTTTCCAAATGGCTAGTCCAGATTGTTAATAGTTAAGAAGTGACCTAATCTCTGTAAATAAACATCCATTAACAATAAGCCCTTATCTCAGAATGTGTAACGCATACAGAGGTGACTCCTGCAAGACTGTGATTGTGTTGACATTAACTTTTAGAGGTAGTGCATTGGTGCAAGCATTTGGGTCACGAGCAGGATTATTTTCAAAGCTATGCTCTATTGAGTCTTGTCTCGCACACAAAGGCAACTGCTGGTGCTTGGATTCTCAGAAGGCGGCTTTTGTAATTTGTCAAAGAAAGTAATACCCTCCCAGTACAGTGTAGTCATTTGTACCGTTTACTTCATGTTTCCATACACTCGAGGTCAGCCATGGGCTTCCACACCTGAGCATGAACATGCAACCTCATTAATGGCGATCAACCACCTTGGATTTGCGTTTTAATAATCAGACACTATTGAAGATGTGTTAGGGCTGGAACTAAGATATGCAGAATACCAGACATATGCTAGGAGGGTTGGACAACCATGCCCTGTGTTATTGGGAGTTCTGGCATTTAAATCATGACAGCATTATGTACTACTTAAAAGATAAAGGTGCCTTTCTTCGATTATTTTTGCTTAATTATCTTATGGGTAATTACATGTCATAGTGTACTTGTGCAAGTACGGAAGCCCCAGATGGCAAGTTGTGGAAAAAAATGTTGAAGTGCTATGTTGTTATTTCAACTTAGTACGTCGAAATAAGGAGATATTATCTCATTATTTTGTTTTGTTAGTGACTGCTGTGACTATCGTGGAATTCCATCAGTTTAAGTGTTAGGAGTCAACACCATGACATCACCGTGGATTAACAACCATTAGATGTAACTGTGTGTCACCTGAAGTCTACTAAAGCAACCTGTTTACTTATTACCTGGGAAACAGCATACAGAATAACAATTATATGCTAATATTCAATAAATTAGTTTTATTGATATACTATGGGGTATTAAATATTAACTTGAAACAAGGAGATGTGTTGGAATGACGAGATAATAACTCAGAATAATGAGTTATGTCTAAATAACGCAATATTAAGCAAACATAATGACTTAGTACAGTGTTGATGATATATTAATTAATGAGATATTAAGTTAAAATATCAATATAATATCTTGAAATAAGGAGTTATTAATAAGATATTAAGTTGGGGTCCCTGGAGGACTAGTGGTTAGGCTCTCACAGCCATGTTCCGGGTTCGATTCCCGGCCAGGGAACCAACCCCAGCCACTGGGGTTGCACAAGATTGTCCACTGCTTGCCGGTCCCAAGCCCGGATAAAATATGGGGAGGGTTGCGTCAGGGAGGGCATCTGGCGTAAAAACTGTGCCAAATCAAATGTGCGGACCAATGAGCCATTGTGACAACCCCTAACGGGAGCAGCCAAAAGAACAACAACAATAAGATATTAAGTCGAAATAAGGACATCATAGGTTCAGGCATTCCTTAATGGAAGATCTGTGTGTTTGTTTTGTTGTTGAATTTTTCACACTGCACTATTTGTGAACGTAGCCTATTAAATGTGCACTTGTTAGCATGGAACGCTGCACAGGAGACGAAGCAAGAGAAGGTCAATGCTGGCTGTTCGAAGGGCCAATATCTTTGCTGTGAACTGAGATGTGACACTGTGTGCAAAATCTGCAGAATTTAGTTTCAGAACACCCATAATGTAAAACCCATAATGTGTGAATGAAAATCCTACATAGTCCCTAAGTCACTCTGACTTAATTTTCAAATGAAGCCAATAAATTCTGAATGGCACTGATTTGTAAAATAAGTGAAAAGCAGTGGAAACTTCACATTCTCTGTGTGTTGGTTTTGGCAAAAAGCCTATCACCCTAAAGTACAATAAATGGCCAAACCTGCATGCTGGGTTTTACGCTCAGAGATTATTACCTCATGTGAGTTAAACGCAAAAGGAAATAGCTCTAGAATGTGCTGCTTTTCAATGGTGCTGCTCTGCCACATTCCAGAGTACATGCAAGGTAGAAAGCAAGTGCTCTGACTGAAACTTGCTCAGTCTTCTTCTATACAGCCATGAGAAAAGGAGGTCAGTATTTACAGCACGCTCATATGGAGAAAGAGCCTCGTACTATGCACAGGTAAACGTTATTAATCACCAGTCTCCCCAAGTGTGTCAGAGAACTCTTACAAAGGGCAGTGCTAGAAGAATTGTGCTTAGGGAGTCCTTTTAACCAAGGAGTTGCTTAGATAAGGAATTATGCTGAATCCTAGTTAAGATCTTGACAGTTTAACTTTGTTTTATTAGGTGTTGCTAAAATTTAGTTGCTTCTGATAAGGAAAATGCCATTATGCCATTATTCACAGACTTTGAAGCTTTTATGATTTTTTTCATGGTATGTATATTTGCTTTGTAGGCCAGTAAGCACTATGTTAATTCATGTAAATGGGGCAATCTGAGATGTAACGTTCACATGATAAGTAGTGATTTTGACTGAAGGTTGTTCACTCTGATAAAACCCTTTCATTTTGCTCTTCCTTCTGTTAAAATATTCACTCAGAATGTTCGCACAAAAGCTCATATTCTAGTTTCACTGGAGTTGTGTTAATGTCTGGATTTATAGACAGCAGTATTGAATTAGAAATGGACAGGATTACACAAGGTTTTGTTCAAATGTTTGTTTAAAAATGCTTGTGAGGAGTTTTGAAGAATTGGGCATAAAGGTTAAGAGTATTATTTTGCAGCTATCTTGCATAACCCAAAGCATGACCAGGGGTTAATTTGACTGTTACTTTTTTTTTTTTTTCCTTTTTTTTTTTTATTTTACTTTGGAATGTGCATTGTTGTAGACTAGAAAATTAATCATTAACACAGGATTTGATAACCTTGTCAAGAACGCAATTACTAAGCATATTACTAAGTGCTATTCTTTGTGTGAATGATAATTTGTTTTTTGGGCTAACTAAAACCACAGGAACTGTGTTGCAAATTGGCAACAAGCTGTATTGAGGATACAGAATTTGCATAGTAAATGTGTGGAGTTGGTGTCTCTGCATGGAAGTGTGTGTGTGAACGAGAGAGAGAATAGGTTTACAAATGTCAAGTACTTTTGCTTTAGTGTTAATGTGATAACTTCAAAATGTAAAAAAAAAAATGCTTTCTCTAATGAACTTCAGGCATAAACATAGGAATTCTGGTTCCAGCTATGAATTAGATTGTGTATTTTGTTATTGTGTTATTTTTGGTTTATCTTGTGATACTGTTTTGATGGTTAGAATTATCATGTTTAGAGGGAATCTGATGCAAATACTTGGGACTTTTATAGCTTTTAATGTTTATTAGATATAGGTTAAAAGAGAGATCTGGACAGTAGGGGTGGGCAATATGGGACAAAATATCATATCACAATGCATGAAGAATTTTTTACAATCCACACTATTAGATTTGCTAACAGAGTGCCTGCAGAAAACTAGTGCTGCAACAAAAAAATGTCAAAAATGACATCTTAAGTCTGAAAACAACTTGTACTGCACAAGCAAGAGTGCTGATGTATTGAATATCAGCATGGCTGTGAGTTGGCTGTAGGCACGAGCCCGCAGGTAATCATAGCCGTGCTGATATTCACTACAACAGCACTCTTGCTCGTGTGATATTGCTTTTATTCAACAGTTCTATAAACAAGAAATTAATATCAGGTAACGGACTTTTCAGACACGTTATGGCCAAATATTTTGCTTATTTTTGCTCCGTTAACGGAAATAGTTCCGAAAGAAATCACAGCTGGATAGAGTGTTGCATGTTGCCATGCCAACGCACAGACTGACTGACAGCCCACAGTAAGTGTAGTAACTTTGTCAAAGTAACAAACTATTGCTAGAATTGAAATGTAATGTGGCGAACACAGACAAGCAGAGTGATACAAACAGTGAAATGTACCAGTGCTGTTATAAATGCAGTCAAATTAGTGGACCGGACCAGAACAATTAACTGTTGTGTTATAAAATATACAGTACAGTATGAAGACAATACAGTAAAACCAACAAACAAACAAAAATGTTAATCTCTAATGTCATTGCGAATAACAGTGGCACCAGTCTGTATGACACACAGTCAACTCCAGAATTATTGGCACCCCTTGATGAGATGGGTAAAAAAAAAAAAGGTTATATAAATGTATTTGTGCTTAATTAGCTTAATCTCACACTGACAATATGAGAGGAATCTAACTAAAAAAAAAGCTTACTAACAAAGTGCAACTAAAGCATGTTCACATTTATATTTTCCTTTTTTTTTTTTTTTTATTTACCTGATTAACCAGATTTCCTAAACACAGAGGCCAAATTCCCCTAATTATTCAACATGGGGAAGATAGTTATTGCGCAATGACTTGTGGGAAAAAAAACAACAACAAAACAAACAAACAAAAAACTACACACCTGAAAATGCACATATCTACTGTTAGGGCACTAATTAAGAAGTTTAAAACACTGTGAGCTGTAATGAAACTGCCTAGAAGAGGATACAAGTGTATTTGCCCAAGTGCACAGTGAAGAGCGTGGTTAGGGAGGCAAAAACATTCTCCAAAGATCACCATCAAGAAAATCTTGCTATCTCTGTTGGGAAGATACAGCTGGGTCATGGTTGGATCTTTCAGCAGGACATATTCAAAAAATATGTCCAAATCCACACAAAATTTGTTCAATGACAGAATCGAGCTTTTGATATGGCCATGTCAAAGCCCTGACCTAAACCCCCCTTGCAAACCTGTGAGGTGAGCTGAAGAGGAGAGGACCGAGGACCCTGGAGGATCTGGAGAGATTGAGTATTGAGGAGTGTCTCAGGTCCCTTACTCTGTATTCTCCAATCTCATCTATCATTATAGGAGTCTCAGTGTTGTGATGTTGGCCCAAAGTACTAAATACAGGGTGCCAATAATTGTGACACATGTTTTTGTGGAAAAATATAAAAAAAATACATGTACTTCAATTAAAGGTAAGATTTCTTTCATAATTTCAGTGTGGGATTAGCTTATTTACCACAAAGACATTTTTTCATCACTTTTTTTTTATAGCAAGAGTGCCAATAATTCTAGAGATGACTCCAAGGACTGATAATATCTCAGAAAATTGTATTGTGATGCAATTTAGCATGACATTAATAGTATATTGTTGTATTGCTCAGCCCTAGTGGGTAAAAGGTTATTTTTAATGGACTGTCTCAGTGGACATTGTGAAGAAACAAAGCTCTTTGGAGCACAGAACTCTCCAAAGGGAAATTTTCTGAAATATATATTTAAACATGTACTTCTGCTGCTAGAAATGAGTTCCACTTCTTTATCCAGTCACATCCAAACTTTACCATACCTTCATGGGAAGTTCTCATGTACTATGTGGTGTAGTGGTAAATTTGCATATTAAAGCCATAGATTGGCACGGCAATCTTTCCTATGTCCATGACCAAAACAGGAAGTATCAGAGACAGTGTAGTTCCTCTCTATAATGTTAATAAAAATGACAATAGCAACTGTAACATACACTGTGGAATGAGTTTGTCTTGCTTGGGTTGTTTCAATACCAGGAAATTCCTTTTAACTTTGAAATTAAGTAACACTGAAGGAATTCATGACCATAAAGATAATGTCCTCCAGGCACTGGTTATCTGTCTTTTAAAAGAACAAATGAATGGTGTTGGAATGATGCTTTTTAAAGGTATAAACATGTACATATCTCATAAAGAAAATGCAGTGGACAATGAAGCGTTTCACAGTGACAAGCTGGTTAACAAAGACGTGTTTATGGTGGCTTTGACTTCAGCTCATGGGATCAGAGTTTAAAGCTTATTGAGGTTAAAAAACTCATTAGTCACCAGCTGACTACTATTGCTCATATCAACCACAAGGGTTCATATGTTTTTTTATGACCAGGCAGAACACTGAAGCCTAAAAGACAACTTGGCTCGTCATTACTGTTCCATCATTGTGTAATGAGTTATTAGTATTGTATGCGGAATTCTTCATAACCCTATCAGAGATATTAATCATCTCGAGGCCCAGCTGCACTTGATTGCTGTATTGCTGTATTGTATTGATCTGTATTTTAGGGCATCCTGCCTTTACGTCATTTTTGAGCAATACTTTGCGCTCTCACAGTGCCTGCCTAATGCTCCAGCCCTAATGAGCAAAGGCCGCTTTATAGTATAACAGGCATGGTAGCTATATTTATTCAGCGGAGCCTGTCATTAGAGGTTTCCCCATCCC